GAAGACAGGACGCGAGATGGGCGTTTGATGACGGCTAACCGACTTGGAGACGGGCGGTCAAGCAATCTTTGATCTCAATGCGTTTTGAAGGCATGTTGTCATCACAAGTGCTCTGATAATTTCAAGCGATCAAGTGGTCGGGTGCGTTATGGAGAGCCAGCTGGAAAAGCCTCGAGCATCGCGAAACGACCATGTCGAACATGATAGACCTCAGGCCGATCGCTAGGCTCCAGGCCACGTTCTAGCGTAGCAGGGGTTCGTTCCTACACCGCGGAACGAAAGTACGCGAACAAGAGCCACGCATGCACATCCAGTCACACGGGGCCCATCGACCTACCCGCATGTGTGTTAATCGGTGAACCATGCCTATCATATATCCCGGTACACCAAGATCAGAACACCAACGTGTACGCATTGGACTATTCTAGCTATTTGCCTTGCCAAGCCATGACAACGACAAATGAAAGAGATGGTACAGTTCAATTAAAGTTGGATCGGGGCCTAGGGGTACTCGCCCTGCATCGCCATAAGACGACACAGATCTACCAGTGTCCTCGTTGTGCTTCCTACCTCTACACCTAGACCACTATTTCACCGCCTCAATTCTCCCACAGCATACGACAACATTAGGCCTTCTGATTCACCCGCGCCGCGACCAGACCCTACAATTCCATTTTCCGGTGACGGCACGGACACTAGTTGTCGTCAGCCCTATACCGATTAGTTGTGTGGGGTACCACCAAGCTGGTACTGGCTTCGCCTCGCCATCCTACGCATCCACCTCAGCAATCTTGGACTTCTATATTCACACATTTGGCCTCTGGCGTAGCGGTCCTTGTACAAGGAGATCGCAACGCTTACCAAAGACGCGATCGTCAAGCCCTGTCGAGCGAATCCACAACCTGATCCGACTTCTCGCCTTACGACACTTCTAACTTTGTTTCGTCATCGCCATGTTGGCACACTACGGCCCTCAGGGAGATGGCTTTGGGCGCCCGGACGGTTCATTCCCTCCGAAATACCTGTGAGTCGATGCGGTTCTTGAGGGTCTATAGCATAAGCTCTGGGGTGGCAGTGAAAGGTCTTTGCCGATATGAGGGAACGAGTTATGATGCTCGCTTCATATAAGACTCGAAAGCATGCCAGGATAGCAAGAGCAACAGCATCATCAACGACAACTTCTAACACCGGTTTCATAGATCTCTCGAGCAAGTTCAACTTCGTCCCCGAAGACACACTTCCGTCTCTAGTACAAGAAAGGCATCCAGACCAAACAAGCTACGCATCATCACTTCGCCCGTGGCGCCCGTCTATCGCCCTTCCACCACTACAAACCGTACGAAGAAGACGAAGACGATACGCCCGAAGCAGGAACAACCGCCTTCGCCCGCCATGTCCGGATACAGCGTAAGTCAAACTTAATCTGTTCGTCGTCACTTGCTTTGACTAATAACACCAGTATTCCTCTTCTGACCAAGGGAACTACAACTATCAAACGTCTTACCCAGCTTCATCAGTACCTCAATACACACAATCCCAGATCAACACATACTACGCACAGTATCAATGTTACCCACCTCAACCGTACCAGATCATCCCAGACTACTACGTGCAACCTGTAAATGTTGCGCCGACTACTGGATATCAACAGCCAGTAGCTAGTGGGTATGACGTTGGAAGTTGGCAAAGCCACGGCGGTGATCTAGGGATGAGTTCTTCGCAAGCTCCGACTAGGTAAGCATCTGTATATCGAAACTCAGTGCTGATATACTAACATCAAAGCAGAAGCAGCAGTCGCACAAAGTAATTACCCCCTCTCCCTTCCCCATGCCCATCCACTAACCAATCCACTCCACAGAACATGGACCTGCGACATCGCCTCCTGCACCTCCTCAGCAAACTTCACCCGCCTCGCAGACCTGCAACGCCACCAATCCACCGTCCACGGCGTCGGCACCCCAGAGTACCCTTGCAACGTACCGCGCTGCAACCGCGTAGGCGACAAAGGCTTCACACGACGCGACCATCTAGTCGAGCACCTCCGTAACTTCCACCACATGGACATTCCCAAGCGGAGACCAGGGGAGCGGAGCGCCTTCCCCTTTGGATGGCCCGAAGGAGGTGGCGCGGGAGGATCTCACCAGTGAGTCTACTTCACGTATGGGAAGGGAAGCCGGGCGAAGGTGAGAAAGAGGAGGCGCTGATCGGGGTGTAGGGTTGACGAGGGTGCGCGGTCGGGGGCGGGGGGCCAAGAACAGGGCGAGGGGAGGATTGGTCAGCGTATACGAAGTGGTGGGAGTGGGATTGTACGAGGGTCCTCTACTTCGTCGACATCAACGGTGTCGACGAAGAGTCACACTACTACTACTGTCACACGCGGTAGGGTCGCCAAACGCCCGTCGAGAAGAGGTGATAGAGCGGGTGGCAGGAGCAGGGGTGCGAGTTCCAGTGCAGGCATCAGTCGTTTGAGCGCTCAAGCTGCATCGGCTTCTTCTTCTTCTGCAGCAACGTTATCCTGGTTGGACGTCCCGCAAGAGCAAGGCTTGCACTCTTCGTTACATCAACATCCGCCTCCACCACCACAGCACCAGTCACACCCACCACAACTACAACAAGTACAACGCCATCCCCTCTCCTTTACAAACGCGGAACTTGCCGAACAAGACATCTTGCTTGGTGGGACCGGAGACTTGTTTGCAGCACCGGCCCCTGACCCAGAGACATTCCATAGGCGGTGAGGCTTAAACGACGATATGGCATGGGGTTTCGGTTAGAGTATATGCGGTGTGCATCGATCTCTCGTTTATTTGCGTTTTGGGTTATAGCATTGTTTGCACAGTTTTGTTTAGAGTCTTGGTTTGATTTTCGTTTTGCATAGCATTGCATGGTTCAGGGCATATACATACATGATTCAGGCTAGGAGACTAGAACGGCTAGAACCTGAGAGGCGCTTTGGAGATTCGTTGTTTTATTTTAGAATTGTTTAGCTTGGTTGCTCGCTTTTACGAGTTGGCAGAATATCAGGTTTTTTGTTCGTTGATACGATGTTGTTGATCAATCGGGCCGGATGGCAAGACACAGTGTAAGCTTGTACATTGTCTATACGAGCAGACCAATCTCGATTGCGCAAGCAGCTATTTCGACGATAGTGCTGTCTAGGCAGGTACACTTCCTGCCTACTTCTACGCGCATTGGTTGCCTAAAGACGTTAGTCAGCGGAGGTTGCCTCTGGACATCGTGACATCGTGTCTTCGAGGTGCTGCAAGAACGTTGACCGGTGCCCTGGCAGGATTGGCATCCTTGATGCTTGCTCGTGATCCTGCTCGCGTATTGCGGAGGATCCAGATGCGGGTTGCCTACGGACTCGCCATAAGTTGCTGTTTGTCGACTAGACAGGCGTGTTGGTGACTGCGCCGCATAAGCCTCGCTTGACCTGTCCATGCTCCCCACAGCAGTCGCATTGTCTTGTGCGTATGTGTGTGCGTGTGCGCTTTATTACCAAGCTGACGTCGACGCGAAGGGGGAGGAACAGGGGATTTGGAATCCAACAATGAGGATGCATGAATGATGTGCATTCAACCCGAAGGAAGGGGTTGCGTGCGTGGCGGCTTGGCACTGTGCCGCATGAGCCTTGCAGGCTTCCTCATCTCCCACGTTGCGGCGTCTGCCTTGGTTGCCGTCTACCGTTACGTCGGTGACGGGTATGTTCGGTTCACAGTACTGCAATGAGATGCCGGGTCGCAAGAAGCACTGCTTTGATGGTGAAGTCCTGTGGTTGGGACATGGGTGCCGTGGTGCCGAGACCAACATTTGCCGCTGTCATAGATAAGCCGATGGCCAGGTGAAGCGAGGACGCTCACTCACCCAAAGCACACAAGTTCGCAGACCGTATGCACAATAGACTGAGCTTGTGATAAGGTTCTGTGCCGCATCCATGACCAACCCTAACACCTATGTCCGCGGCGCATCGGTTGCCAGATGGAGATTAAACCCGAGGCTGAGGTCGAGGTCCAGCAACACGTCTCAGCCCGAGCCGCGGGGAGCGATCCGCTGGCACAGTTCTGACTCCACGTGGTTGTGCCGCTTGCAACACACGGCGGGCGTGGGGCATTTGGCCCCGTGATCCTGCTGTCTATTCATATCCATCGAGAGATCCTGCGGTGCACCAAACGGTCGTGGGTTGCGCGAACGCTGTCTGCGCCGCAGCTATTTCGAACAATCGATCCGCCCATCGCAACACTTGAGCCTCAATAATGTCTTAGAAGGCCTGATCGGTCATCGGAGGAATATGACGCCAAGGTAGGGCTGGGAGATGGTCTGAGATGCTATGTGCATCGCCCTCGCGACCGGTCCGTCGATGACTGTGCGCGGCTTCCTTCCGAGTGTATAATTAGTCGTTCAGGCCTTCATGTTGAAGACCGAGTATCCGCCATGCGAGCTAGCCCTGGAGGTGTTCTGGCGCCCTTGATGCTACAAAATGCATAGACGTAGAGGAGCCAATCAGCGATGCGGTCATTTAGCTTACAAAAGAGCGCCGCCAGAGGCTGGGTGCTCGCTGGATGACGATGATTGCTGAATTATTACATATGTTTACATTGTCAAAAGGTAGGAAGGAAATTAGCATACACTGTCTGGAACAAGACAGAACTGTAATGACGTAGGTCTTGGTTAGCGCACTTTGGGCAGCCATGGAATCGGGAGAGGTCGTATGGATGGATGAACATCTGACACTTGCAAGTTGCCTCCTGCACCACCAAACGTCCTCGTACCTTTGCAACCTACACCTTGGTTGCCTTTTGCTCTGACTCATACTCATGTCTTTCGCACCTCACTTATATTCCTACACAACCGAGTTTACAGACTCTTTACCTTTACAATAACTCCGCTTTCACATTGTGTTCCCCGCAGTCGAACCTTGGTTCCGCCACACAGAGCAAACTTCAGCCTGTACAGGCATATATAACATAGTTTCCACAGAACTCTATCAGCCATAGCCCGACATGCGCGATCTCCGAAAACAGGCTCTCGAGAGCCATAAGACTATGTCGCGCAAGGCCCGATCGCGCGTTGTATCTACGACAGCCTCCAAGACAACGTCGGCAGCAGGCTCGCCAGCACAGTCGCGTGCCGCCAGTCGCAGTCGACAGGACTCTTCAGACGAAGACGGCTTCAGCGACGGAACTGCTTGGAGGTGAGTTTCAGTCTGCGCATAACTTTTTTGATTTTTCCCACATCGCGACGGCACCGGTGACATCATCGTGCCTAGCCATCCTCGCGCCCTCATCTACTGACATGCTCACAGCACAGCATCCATCGACGATGTACTCAACGGCGAAGATATCAACATACCCGAAGACGCGTGGAAGGCCGAGCTCAACACGCGCATCGAACAAATCACCAACCTCAAGCGCAGCAGCACCGAGGGGCGCACCGAAAGTCTGAATGCCTACGCACACGTACTCATGGCCCGCTATGCGAGGGATGAGGTTGAGGGACATGTGAACGAGCTGGTCTCGTCGATGATTAAGAGCATCAGACAGGAGACGACAGAAGCTGAGGTTGTCAAAGCCCTAAAAGGTATGTACACGCGCAAACACCGTATATAGGCCTTTACTAACGCTCGCCAGCACTCGCTGTCACCGCCGTAACTCTCGATTCCGATAGCATCTACGACGACGTTTCCGACCAACTCAAGCGATCGATACAGTCCTCCTCCTCAGTCGCCATCAAAGTAAACGCAATCCACACACTCGGCACAACTGCCTTCTTTGCTGGGGCCGGCGACGATGAGATCTTGGACATTATGAACCTCTTCATTGAGATCATAGAGTCAGACGGCGCATCTATTGACGCCCAGGACGAGGGAAATGTCGTGATCGCTGCTTTGGAAGAGTGGGGTCTACTCGCAACCGAGATTGATGATCTGGAAGAGGAAACGGAGGCTGCAATGGAGGCCTTTGTCGAGCAGCTTGAGAGTGCCGACTCTGGTGTTCAGATTGCAGCAGGGGAGAACATCGCGCTCCTGTACGAAAAGTCCCTCACTCCACAAGAAGAGGACGAACAGGTGCAAGAAGAGGCAGACTCCGATGACCCAGAGCACGTCCGCGATGGCGAGCGGTTAGTCAAGCGCTACACAGTCTGGCGACGACAGGATCAACTCATGCACACGCTCGACGAACTCGCAAACGTTTCGACACGCCGCATATCCAAGAAGGATCGCAAAGCACTACACTCGTCCTTCGCAGATATCCGCAATTCGGTTGAGAAGCCATCGCGCGGTCCAGCCTATTCCACCGCTCTACATGAGGAGACTGGGAAGGCCTACGGGGCGGGCAGGATGAAGGTCAAGATCAACAAGAATGTGGAGGTCAGAATCGACAAGTGGTGGAAGTTACAGAGGCTGAACGCGCTGCGACGGACACTGCAGGGTGGTTTCACCTACCACTACGAACACAATGAGCTAGTATCGACAGCTCTCCCTTTCTCCATGTCGGCAAGACGATAATGTTGTGCGCATAGAGACCATGTTTTGGCGTTGGCGTCAGCTCGAAAAGTGCTTCTATTATTATACGCGTGGATACCTGGTTGCGAATGGCGTTTTTGAGCTTACTATTATTTTCGAAATGGATGAGATGGGTCAGCAAAGAGGAGTAGATTAGCGCCTGGAAGTCTAATAACATGAAGATGCATATGCCATGACAGTATTACTGACCGTTCGGGTGATGTTTGCGAGTTTAGCGCTGAGGCTTGCCGTGTAGCTTTCGGAGTCACGGAGTGTAGCTAAGACGAAGCCCGGTCACTGCCCCGCGTTGCCCCTCATCGCGAGCATCATGTCAATGTTTACATGACACAACAAGCTCAAGAAAGCTCCTTTACTGGTGATTATGCCGTCAAGATGAGCCATGTTGTTGTATAAATAGAGTACAGTCTTCTTAAAGAATCCAGCCAACCTGGTTGCGCCCGCCAATGTCGTACGGATGTGTAAAGGCGGGCTTGGCGCGGCATGAAGCTGTAGGCTGTAGCTTCCGTAGAAAGTTCTGGACAGCTATCACCGTGCTTTTCTTCAGCCTCGCACATAAACTCCGACTCCTGGACCTCTGTCGATATCCTCAGTGCTTGAACATTGATATCCTTCGCTCATACTACGACATACCCACCAAACATCTATAGCGATTCCGCGATCATGGCTGACACGAGTAAGTAACTTCAACACAAGCCTTTCTCTAGGCTATGAGAACCCAAGAGAGTCTTGCTAACAAGCTTCAGAGCGCCCTCGCGTCTTCTTCGACATCGCCATCGGCGGCGTGAAAGCCGGCCGTGTTGCTTTCGAGCTCGTACGTTCCCCAACTTCCTATACTTTGCACGCGCATACATTCCAATCCGCTCAACGCAAAACCTAACAGCCCTTTAGTACAGCGACATCGTCCCCAAGACCGCCGAGAACTTCCGCGCACTATGTACCGGCGAGAAAGGCGAAGGCGCATCCGGCAAGCCGCTGCACTACAAGAACTCAGGCTTCCACCGTGTTATTAAGGGCTTCATGATCCAGGGCGGTGACTTTACGCAAGGCAACGGCACAGGGGGTGAGAGGTAAGCTGTGGCCGTACGAAATGCATGTGAGACATACACTGACTTGGTATCTTCACCTCTGTAGTATATATGGGGAGAAGTTCGAAGACGAGAACTTCGAGAAGGTCCACGACAAGCCGTTCTTGCTCAGCATGGCGAACGCGGGCCCAGGAACAAACGGTTCGCAGTTCTTCGTAACCACGGTCCCCACACCGCACCTCGACAAGAAGCACGTCGTCTTCGGCGAAGTCATCAACGGCAAGAGCATTGTGCGCCAAATCGAGAACCTGAAGACGCAGAGCGGAGATAAGCCATTCCACGACGCGACCATCATCGACTGCGGCGAGCTCACCGGCGAAGACTACGATAAGGCGACAGAAAAGATCTCGGACGCAACCGGCGACCCCTACGAAGACTTCCCCGAGGACCAGAAAGCCAGCAGCGACGACGAATGGAAAGGCGAGGAGATACTCGAGATTGCTACCAAGCTAAAGGATATGGGCAACGACGCGTTCAAGAAGGGCGACCTCAAACTAGGCATCACCAAATACTCAAAAGGTATCCGCTACCTCCACGAGTACCCCGCCCCTCTCGACGACGACCCCGCAGACCTCTGGCCCAAACTGCAAGCCCTGAAGATATCCCTCTACTCCAACAGCGCGCTGCTTCAGAACAAGACGGGTGCATACAGTGACGCGGCGGAGAGCGCGACCAAGGCGCTGGACATCGAGGGTATCACGGACAAGGACAAGGCAAAGGCGCTCTTCAGGCGGGCGCAGGCCAAAGCAGGAAAGAAGAACGAAGACGAGGCGTTGGCGGATCTGAATGCGGCACTCAAGCTTGCGCCGGGCGATGCGGCGATTGTCAAGGAGTTGGATGTAGTGAAGAAGAGGGTGCAGGCGCGGAAGGAGAAGGAGAAGAAGGTTTATCAGAATGCCTTCAACTTTGATTAGCCGTCAGATCGAGAGACTTGTGAGAAGTGTGGGGGGTGCAAGCAGTGTAGGTAATAGTAGAGAAAAGGGACAGATACCAGTGTAGTCATTAGTATAATGAACAGCATTTTATAAACGTAGTCACCCCGGGGGTCATAGTGGGTGGCTAATCATATTCGGTTGCTTGCCGAAATCTACCATGGTATACTGTCACCGGAGCTTTGGCCCGAGAAATATCCTGTGCATTTCAACCAATCTGTTCTCTACATGGCCCATATTTGCGCCTTTCCACCGATTCAAGAGAGAATTCAGGCATCATCCGTATCGCTGGTTTTACGGGAGTTGTGAGTGGCTCGTCGTCTATAGGTCATCGTGTGGGTCACCGCACTACCGCGATAAATCCGATGGAGCTAGAGTCAATGTGGCTTCGCGCGCGAAATAATTGTGTGAGCTAGTAGCGAGGGAGTATATATGACGGCTGCTCGTTCTCTCTCTTCTGTAGTCCTACATCACAACGTCTTGATATCACTTCACTCGGCATATTGAGAAACACGACGCAAGAATCAACGTGTTAAGGCAGAAGTTCAAGTCTAAGAACAATATTCAAAGTCTCAAATACAAACATCGCTGTGTCGAACGGGAGACCCAAAGTACTGCGCACAAGACTTGAGGTATTGAGCGCGACGCCAGAAGGGTCAAGCGCAGGACTGAGAGTATCAAACGCGAGACCAGGAGTCTCGACACCGTTATATACAACATGGATATAATCTCTTGCGCCAATGCAAGCTCCGCACTCGCCCTGCAGAGCGTCTTACGTACCTCCGCAATGAACGCTGAATCCCAGATGCCATCGCACACCTCTTCGATCTCTGGTCCGTTGCCGGGCTATACATGCCTGTTCTCGCAACTACCAGGAGAACTGCGAAATCGAATATACGATTATATCCTAGAAGACGAACCAGCATCCGTCATACACGTGAACTACAATCCTAATTCAACAATGCCATTTCAAGAGCGATATCCAAAACATCAGTACATGGGTCTGACACAAGTCAACCACGCAACGCGTAGAGAGTTTGCACCTCTGTACGACAGCGGGCGTTACTTCCACTTCTCCCAACTAGCCCGCTTCTACCGTTTGGGTCTCGCTGGCAAGAACGATGCATATCCCGCCTTAGTCCGCCTCCTATCCATGATCAAAAAAGGACGTCTTAGACGACCAGCGGTGGCAGCGTTCAATTCGTCGAACCCGTGGGATCTCGACGTGACACTCTTGTTCCGACTAGACCCGTATACCTGCGATGTCACAGGCCGCTGGTTCCTCGACACAGAATACAAGAGCCACAAAAACGGCCTTATCACCGGCGTTCTGTGCCGCATGCTCGCATGTCTGCCGTCATGGCACCATTTGTTAGAGCCGGGAGCCATCACCAAGATTAGCATCATGAAGTCTAGCTACCGGAGTGGCAAACCATATATCGTCGTTACGGTAGAGCTCGATTCTGAGATCGAAATCTCGCGCGCTGCCATCGTGCATGCGCATGTTGAGCGCTCGTTGGTTGCAGAGATGGACTTTTCGATGCCTAATAGCGGACCGGCGGCGTCGCACAATTTCTTGAGGGTGAAGTGTGTTTGGAGAGGCGAGAAATGTAGGGAAAGACGCCAGGGCGAGGGGCGTAGAAGATCAAGAGGCGGATGACGAGCAGTGGCCGAGTGAATCTGGAGACCCCCTCCGGAATGGATGATTACAATGAATGTGGATCCACGTCATCGGGAAAGAGACAGAGCTTCAAACGCTGCCTAATCAGTCTTCTCAGTTGGTCTGTGTCCGCCCCGGGTACCTTTTAAGTACCCCTTCTAGTCTGCTTCTTACATACACTGTCTCAATCAACCACTTAAGAAGCGAGCTCAATTGGCATAACCCAACATGGATGGCGATACAACAATGAACGATGCCTCCGATGTGGAGGTGGTGTCGCGGCTTCTGGAGCTGCCCGGTGGTAAGCCAATCGTCACATCTGCTCCGAGATCTATGTGTACTAACCCATTGCGAAGAACTGCGCAACCACATATACAGCGTGATCGTCGCCGGAGAAGAAGATCGAGGATTCAAGCTGCACCGCAAGCGCCGCGGCCGTTCCCAACACTCGAAACATTCTCTGAGAGACCGTCACCCTAGTCGCCAATTCCTCGGTCTTGCTCAGACGAACCGCCTATTCCGCTCCGAGTTCTGGCCGCTTTACGCGAAAGCCCACCGCCCCATGATTAACATCGAGGAGCTTGCCGAGTACCTTGAGGTCGTTCCGCTCTCTGACGGAGCCATCAATGACTCTATCATCACTACTCTGAAAGCCGTGCGCCTCCTCAAGACTCCGAACGCCGTTGAAGCTCCCGGTATCGATATTCGGCCTCTTTTCCGCATGAAGTGGAAATCGTTCCCATTCATTGCTGCCAAACGGTTCACGTATCCGTATCGGTATCGCGACGAGAACGAAATACTCCATTGGCTTGTACACATGAGCTGCCGTCGGAGCCGGGCCTATAACAAGGTGCTCAGGAACGGAGTCGTTGCGATCTATTTGCATAGACGTCATAACACCGCTGACGTGTCTCCTGCGGTGGAAGACGTTATCACAGTACGCCTGAGCGACACCACAAACATGAAACTTAGCGGGGACAGAGTTAGCATCTTCCAGAGTTTCGTTGATACTACGAGAAACCTCCTAGTATTCGGTTCCTGGAGTTACGTCGTGATAGAATGTACTAGCGGTATGCAGAAGATGGTTGCGAGAATGGGACAGCCTATTCTGGTCGAACAATTGAAGGACGTCCCGGAGGTGTAAACGTACGCGGTGTCCAGAGAGCGGTCATGATATCTTGAGGAGAAGGGGGTGTGATTAGTTAAGAGGCTCAAGCGACTTGGAGATCCGTATTGGTAGATACGTATGATATTGATAATGGTGTCCACTTCGGGTACGATTAACTTCGTCTTGTGACTTGCGCTTCCTAAATGGCGATATCGGTAACAACAGTAGTGACAAATAAGCCAGACATGATCGGTCAGGGTTGTAGATCGACGAAGAAGAACAAAATGGGGACAAACTCATTATGATGAAGGGTACATGCCTTGCCGGAGACCCCGTGGCCTATGATGCTTACCGTGATAACAGCAATGATCGATCACTGCCGCGTCCTGCGTATATCTCTCTACGAAAACCAATGGCAACTAACGAGCGATCTTTCAGCATGGACGACCCAAGCAAGCATATGTCCGCGTCAACGATACACTTCATCAGCGGGATGTATGGTACCGCAATCCAAGCCGTGCTCATCGGAAGGTGACGCGCGAGCACCTTTTGCGCGATACGCGATAGATGTCCAAGACGACTGCATCGGAAGGAAGCAGCCGGCTTCTGGTAAGGTCTCGTGATGATGACGGGAAGAGCTTTGACGAGAAGTTTATAGAATGGGTAAAGAAGGGCGTGTTCGGTGAAGTGTACACCGATTAGTACTATATCGTGAGTGACCGCGATCGACTGTTTCTCGATCATGCACTAAGGTTTTCTAGAAGGGATTGGCAGGTACGGAAGGCGGTGGAAGGGTGTTCGAGTACGAAAGCTTCGATGCTAAGGCAGCATATCCTCCGTGTGTGCGCTTTGAAGAGGAAGAAAGAAAATCGTCGTGCGCTGTTTTGAGTAGTTGGTGATGCTCGTCATGCGTTCTTGTAGCATCGTCAACGTGCGCCGCATCGCAATTTCTCGACCACAAAGTCTGTGCGATCTGTGAATCATCTCTTGACCGTTCCTCGCGTTCGGTGGTGCTGCGGTCCGACTGGAGGTCGAATTGCGATATTAACGTGAAGGAACTTCCCGAGCGAATTCACCAAAGTATCTAGGAGCCGAGGCGGTATGTACGATTGTACAATAAGCGTTGTCGAAATCCCATTTGACAACAGGGCACGGATTGCGAGACCCCGAGTATTTGTTCTTTCAAGAGAACAGGCGAAGTGGCGTTTAGGAGCTAAGAAGACGTGAGTTGAACGGTGCGCGTTGGGCTAGTGGCGACTTCCCGAGTTCCCGCGTGCAGTTCACTCCTCCTTCCCTGTGCCATCACTCGCCCAGGGCCAGCGGCAAATGCAAACATGAACCCAACATCACCATTGCATTAATGCGCATTAACGTTCATTTACCGCCTTTGAAAACAGTAGTCGTTCAATCTCACATCAGACTCGAGTTTGTGTTGCTGGTAACAGCTGCGGCCGTCAGCCTCGTGTGCTGCAAGCCTCGCAGGCACAGCCTCAGCCAGCTGGCTCTTGGCTTGCACCGCTCATGATATCACCACCGCAATAACATACACAGATGCAACTACCGTGATTGCGCACTCACGATAGTACGCCACGAGACGTCTAGAGCGTCGGTCGCACTGGTGCTCAGTGTGTGAACCGCGCGGAACCCCGCAAAAGCAACCACTAGCCGCACCTGAAGCTATCCTTCACACGCGCCACGCACGACCTTGGAATTGGCCCGACACGACGCCAGGCCCAAGCATCGGCGACCCCACGCGGGACCTCCATCAGGCTCAAGAGGCGCGGCAGATGGATGCGATAAGCCCTGAATCGAGCTGATGGCTGCAAATGGAAGACTGCCGTGTGCATCAGCTGCAGGCTATACAGGTTAGCTTCTCACCTTGCCTTTCCATGTCGACACTGTCAGCTTTCTTTTCCTCCCTCCTCCTTGTTTTTTTGTCGGTGTGTATCTACACCCCTCCTCCCTGACCAGTTCTACCCTCGGGATATTTACATCACCTCTCCTGCGTGCTCTGGATGCGCCTCGATTATCGTGTTGCTCTACAACATGATCCTTCGTCGATCTCGTCTTCTAAACCTCAAGCGGCCTAACGGATAGCGACTCTGGCGTCAGCGGCGCAGACCGCCTTGCAACTCGACAATGCCATTACCGTTCAACCAGGAATCATGGATCTGGTATACATGCGCTGTATGCATGATTGGGGCAAGACTGTGAGTGCAGTTCCCGTGTATTATTCCATTACATCAGTCTATATTCATGATCTGGTTTCGCATTCGAGAATGCGGCTTAGCATGCGATGCAATGCGCTGGCGGGCGACGTTGGAATACTGAGCGCATCGGTGCTCTGCCCTTCTGCTGCTTGCATCAACTGCCTGCGATCTACCAATGTCTACCTGCTCATTATAGCATATGCATGCATTTACTGACCAGGTTCGTCATGCAGGATTTCGCGAAAGATGCTCTTTCGATCCGTCAAAGGCCTACAGATCGATGACTGGACTATGGGCCTCTTCGTCACCGCCGCCTACACCGTTATGATTGTGCTTGCGAACCGGTGGCTGAAAGTCCAATCGAATCTGGAACCGGAGAATTTCGACTTCAGCGCACTGACTATGGAAGAACTGTCGAGACGACGGTTCGGAAGCAAGCTCGTGGTTGTTGTTGAACAGATGCATATCGCCGTGATCTGGGCCTGCAAAGCATGTCTTTTGATCATGTACCATCGCATAACACGGACGGCGCTTCAGAAGGAGAACATCGCCATCAAACTGCTCGCTGCATATACAGTACTTGGATTCGTCGTTATAGAGGTCCTCTACTTTTCAGCCTGGTGTCGGCCTTTTTCCGCATACTACGCGGTACCCACTACTTCCTTCCAGTGCAACGCCTTGGTACACCACCGGATTACCAAAGCTGTGTTCAACATATCCTCGGATTTGATCATGCTATGTATTGCATTGCAGATGCTCATCCGATCCTTGCTACCCATGAAGAGAAAGATTATACTCTGTGGGATCTTCTCTCTCGGTATCTTTGTCGTTGCTGCAAGCATCATGAACAGCTACTACTCCTTCAGCAATCCGTACAAATCAACGTGGATCTACTGGTACGTCCGAGAATCCTCGACAGCCATCCTTGTTGCCAATCTGCCGTTCACATGGACAATACTGAGGGAACTGTTCGACATGGGTAACTTCGATGACACGAACCCTCCCCCATGGACCTATCACTCGGCTCGTACGGCTGGAGGTCGCAAAACGGCGCAACTTCTTCACCATCAGTCCGCGACAACGGCCGCACGTACAGGAGTCAGACGCTCTCCGAACAACAGTAACGGAAGCAAGATGACGCAAAGTATGACCATGGTTGCTTCAAATATTACAAAAGACCAAACCAAATCGCCTGCTATTAGCGACAGGTCTGATTTTGCAGAGAAGGATTTACTCCAGGAAGCCATCCAGTCTCATGATTTCGCGCCTGCAGTACTACGTACCAGTAAAGACGGTATTGTCGACATCGACCTGGAAACGGGGCTTGTTGAGGAAGTTGATGCGCGACCAGTCTCGCCGGATCACACACAGCAACGCAACAAGCTCGTCTCGGCTCCGCCTACAATTACCCAAGATGGTACCGGGGGCTTCTACGTCAACGACCATCCTATCTCACCACCTTCGCGCGCGCATCTCGTCCTTTCGATGAGCGGAACGCGGGATAGCAGTATATCAAGCGCGCACAGGAGACCTTACAGTCCGACATCGAGTCTTGTTAGTGGCGCTACAGGAAGTCGACGAGGGAGTGCGTCGACCCAGGGTGGAGTGGCTGGGCACACCGCAGGGGGAGGTAGAAGTGCGAGAGATCGAAGAGCGAGAACCAAGTTGAACGAGTAGGATACATTATGGATGAAACGATGACTAGCATATACCCCTTGTAGACGAACCGCCTTATGGCACTTAGACTAAAACCTCTAATGTAATATAATACCGCACGCTTATCCGCATTGTCTGGTCGAGGGCACATCAAGGGCGCAAGGTGCCGCATTCGGTGATAACTGCAGGACCGTACGACGTACCATGGGCCGGTGAGGTATCCTTGTAGGATACTTGGAATGTAACGTGAAGATCAAGGGATGGTGTATCCTTCCTTCCCCAGACGGCCCAGGTGGGAAGGCACGTGAGAGAGCGACTTCGGCAGGCGCTAACGGACCCTTCCCTTGGTCCACTGACGCGAACTGCAACCACTGAGGATGGCGCGATTACTGACCGCCAGCCGCTGCAGGTGAAGCGCCATAGCTGCGCTCTCCTGCGCGACGACGCGGAAGTAGCTGGCGCGGAGGACGAGTCATTCATCCGGTGTGCTCACTGTGGTATGTATGCCGTGCAGACTGCAGCCATGCCGCGCTCTAGAAGCTTTGAGGTGCGTTGGATGGCGACATGGGCTCGGCAGAAAAAGTGCAACAGCCGAAGGAAGCGAAAACCTCTCTGGCCCGTGACGACAGACATCCATCTTTCACCATGCTGCCCAATTCCTAAGCTGCCTGAGCTGCGACTGCTCCACCCAAGCATTACCAGGGCGGAACCTTAAAGTAACTTGGAACTAAATCTTTTCCATTATCGATAAGAGGAATTTCTCCGCGACGGCCCTCCTTCCTTCACTAATCTCCTCTTGCTATACTGCCCGCCGCGAAGTTAGCACACGACCCCACCACCTCCACCAGCCGTCAACATGAGGAACATTGTGGTCCTGGGCGGCAGCTCCCACCCGCAGCTCACCGAGTAAGTCGACGCGCGGAGAAGCGGGCCATGGCTGTGACTAACTGGGCGATAGGACCATCTGCAACCACCTCGGCATACCCAAGGCCAAGGTGCTTCTCGACAAGTTCAAGGGTGGTGAGACGCGTGTCGAGATCGAGGAGAGTGTGCGAGGAAAGGATGTCTTCATCATCCAGTCTGGCGGCGGTAAAGGTACGAAGCCCTCGTGCAGGTCGCGCGCGCATTCCTAGCCGCAGTGGTACTGCAGCGCACTTGGGACGGAACACA